CCATGTCTTTATCATCCGTTTAAGACCGGCCACGTGACGGGCTCTCGACCAATAGGAATGCGTAAACTGTCTTAGGTATTTATGAATGCATTTTATGATGTTTAAAGAAGTCCACTTTTCAGTACAATTAATGAAAATGGGATGTCAATTATTCTTCAAAAGTTTAAGAGGAGTCGACTGGTTGCACAATATGTTTCTCAGCCTGAAGAGTAAAATTCAGTCTCGTTTTTTTCCTGTATATACGATTCAGTTGTTTTCTAATCTTTCTTTAATTTAACATATTTGTTTTACATAGTACAATTAACTTTTCTGTTTTATGCTTTTTAATTTGGATTTTTTTTTTACTTGTAGCCTAACGTTTGTTAACCGGGATATGAACGGACACATGATGATAAATGTAGGCTTTTGTTCATTACCTGACAGCAAGTATTTTTATATTTTTGTTACATGTTATAGTCTAGCGAAGTTAAAAAAAAAACCAAAACAGACGTGCAGGTATACAATTATAAATTGTAAATTGACTTCAGTATAGTTCATCAGCCATACATAATAATAATGACACCGGAGTCTTATATAGCGCACGTATCGATACTACCAACAAACATTAAGGTACTCAAGGCGCTGGAAATTATGTCTACTTTGAGAGGTAAATGAAGTTTATGAGAAATATTATACCATTATGTAGCATCTTATAAGGGTTTACAAGGTGCTGCGGCGCATATATTGCAGCCAGTGGCCAGTGCCAGCAACAAATCACTGTTCGCACACAGGTATTAAACTCAGATGAGCTAGGAAATGTGGCTTGGAAAGGGGTGGGGGAACACTAGAGTAATTTACATTGCAACTTCTGAGAGGTGGTGATAAACGATAATGATTGAAAGATATGTTTTCCCATAGGTTGTAATATGAAGTCCCTTGATAGCACGACATTTTAAAAGTGATTTGACGTTTGTTTGTAGGAGAAATCCAGTTACACGAATGAAGGCTTAACTCAATCATGGAGAAAAAAAAGTTGCTGGTTTGTTGACGTACACTGAAGCAGTCAATTTGTTTTGTTTTAAAAAAATACAATTAAGCGGGGATCTTGACCAGCGACTTTGTATTTTCTTGACCCTTTCTTTCTATAAAAAGCTCAAGATCATGCTGCGTGCACGGTGGAGAATCGATCTTTGCATCAGCAAAGTCCAAATTCTGAATCGAGGAGACTGCTGCTGCATGTAAGTCATGATCATTAAAACTATCAGGACCGGGGATTGTCGGATCTTAATTCATGGCACGGGCGAAGACATTGTACCCCACCGTAAATTGTTTTTTTTCTTATTCTTTGGCTGATTTTCCGGATAATTGTACAGAAATGCTTATTTTTCATTCGTCTAGATATCATCAGTGTATTCATTTATATCACGTTTGCAACGTGTCCTGAATAATGCAGCTTTGGTCGTTGTTCAATGTGGAAATACGACCACATTTCACCTAATCTTAGAGAACTACATCGGCTACTATCCACGAGGATCAGTTTCAAGATCTGCCTCCTTGTGTTAAGATCCTGCATGGTCGTGGTCCAGTATCTCCCTGAGCTTATCTCCCTCAAGCGAACATGTCGGGTTCAGATCATCAGGCTCATACTTGCTAGCAGAAACAAAAACTAGAACAATCCGCTATGGTCAGCGTGCCTTCGCCAACTTGGCAGCACCTGCCATTTGGAATAAACTCCTACTGCCACACTCCGTCAAACAACATCAAGGGCGGATCCAGGGGGGGGGGGCCAAAGGGGGCCATGGCCCCCCCAAAACGAAACCAATTTTTTTTTTTTTTTTGTGTGACATCGCAATAAAGGCAGGCAATGAGTACACCACCATCTTTTCCTCAAAAAAACATTGGTTAAAGTGGTCAGAAATTGCCTCAGATCGCACCACAGAGCATCTAGAATCCAAAAATTTTTCGGGGCCCTTAAGCGGGCCCCGAACCCCACGCCGTAATTTTTTTGACCCACTTTTTTGGGGGGACCAAAATTTTTTTGGCGAATTTAGTATTTCACTGTCTGAACAAACATTCGAGATAATCGCGTTTACAGTTCAGTTGAAACAATTTGAAACTTAAAGATTCATAAAATATGCAAGATTTAGGTATCAGAGAAAAGAAGAGGTTCTAATCTTCCTAAATGTAGAAATCTTTAAGAAAAATAGGTGACTAGTTTTGCAGAATTAATCAATAAAGAAAAGTGGCTGTTCGTGAAAACGAAAAAAAAACAGCCAATTAGCAAATTCGCCCCTTTAAAAAAAAAAGGCTATAAAGTGAGTACGCGCACATTTCGTCCAGGCTACCGCGGTCTGAGCAAATGCATTTTTTTGTACAGTATACGCACAGATTTTGCCCCACTACGCGTGCGCCTTAAAATTCGCCCCTTCGTAAAAACGTTTTATTGCACGCGCCTGAAATTCGGCCCTTCGTGAAAACGCTTCATTGTATTACAATGTATTTATTTACTGAAAGTTTAGAGTGCGGACATTCGCCCCTTGGTGAAAACGCAAAACGGCACTTGTGGCAAATTCGCCCATTCGTTAATTAGGTTAATTGGGATTCTAATTAATTTTTTGAAAGTATATCCTCACAAGGTTGTAGATATTGATATATTTATTCATTTTCACCAAAAACAAATTTCGAAAAACAGACGATTTTCATGAAATTCGCCCCTTCGTGAAAACGGTGACGAAGAAGAAATTCGTTATTATGACGTCATCAGGTGTCAGGTTACGTCACATTAAAGATGCATTTTCCCCATATGTTTTGTACACGTTTTCGTCAAACCATACACTTTGGCACTTTCTTAAATGTGATCGACTTCAGACTTGGCACATACTTAGACCATCCCACATAGTCCTAGAAGAGTTTTGTTATTGTGACGTGATTAGGTTTCAGGGTACGTTATATTAAAAGTATTTCAAAGCCTTATATCGGTCTTTGGAAATACAAGTCCAATTGGGTTGAGAATTTGTGGGTACACAGACAGGGATGTGTTATAGATGAAAATTGAGATGACGTCGTGTGACGTCATATTAAAGGTACATTTTTAAATGTCTATATGTTCAGCACTATATAAGTCCAATTTGGTTGTAACTTGATACAAACCCTTAGGTACATACACGTTTGTTTATGGTGTAAATCGAGGATTTTCTTTTGTTCCTCTTCCCTTTTCCTTTGTTTGTACTCTTAATTTTTCGCAACAGCTCTCATCACGTTTTCCAACCGAGGAGTCCTCGATTCTGGTTCCTGTCTTCGATTTATCGATGGTGTTGCTCGTGTGTGTCCTTGATTTACACCATAAACACGCGCACGTATATTTCGGGATGTGTTATAGATGAAAATTCAAGTGACGTCATCATGATGTCATCATATGTCATGTGACGTCACATTAAAGGGGAATTCATAAGGCCTGTATTTATAGAACTATAAGTTCTTACATAGGGATGTCTAATACACAGGAACATTGAAGTGACGTCATGATGACATCATCACAGTCATATGACATCACGTTAAAGGGGCTTTAAAAAATCTGTATATCTACATGTGAATGCTGTCATATTTACATGTTAAGTACGTCACTTTATGTTGTATCGATTTAAATGGACGTCGTGACGTCGTCATCACATGTCGCAGAGTCATTACAAACAAGCGAAACAGCTTGTGTTTGTCCACAGACACGTCTCTGACTTTCTTCAAGAGACTCGAAGGAGAGAGGCCCTGTTCCTCTCATGATGTCCCTTCACAAGCCGTTCGTTGTCTTCCGCAGTAGCCCAATAATCAGCGGCAGGAGGCAGATAGTTGGTACCAGGCCAATCATGATAAACGCCAAGTCGTAGCTTCCTCTTGCCTCGTACATCCAACCTACAAGTAAACAGAAACCAATTATGATCAGTGGCATAGGTCATTGTCATATGGGGGGGGGGATTTCGTGAAAAGCGCACTTTCATATCCGTGCTGAAATGTACACAGTTTTTTCCTCCGGGCACTTGGCCTCCGTAAAATAATAAATTTTAAAAAGAAAGGGGGGGGGGGGGGGCTGGTACCATTTCCGATCGGGGCGCTTTTCGAATCGGACGATCATGGACACTATCGGACAATAAATGGCGCTTTTTAGGGGGAACAATTGCTGGTGGTCGCGCAAAATTAAAAAGGGCACTCGTAAAAGGCCGCTGGTAAAAGCACTTGGTTTCGTTTTTGCGTAAGGAGGGGAGGGGGGTGCACTCTTCGGGGAGGGGAATAATCCCCTCTCCAGCTACGCTACTGGTGATCAATAAGGCTTTTCTATCAATCATCGGAGACTAATTCATTCTTTTGGAGTTTTTGAATTAAAATATTTCAAGAGTCACTAACATCGTAACAAAAACAACTATTTGAGAGAAGATAAAGTTTAGGAATCCAACACCCCCGTCATGTATATCTCCATCAAATGACCCGAATACAAAAAAAATCGTTTAGTTCAATAATCCAAGGTGTGATCGACATTTTAGTCAATAGTCATACTTACCGGGTAGGAACCCGGCGAGAAATACCGGTGCGAAGAGAAAGAATTGCTTCCACACATAGGCGCTCACAAGCCGATCCAGTTCAAATATGTCTCTGATCAAGACGTCAGAGAGTGTATACAGAGCAGCGGAAAACAGCCCACAGACGAAGGTGACGACGGCATAGCTAGCAATGTCATTCACCCAGGGATCCACGACAAACGACAGAGACAAAGATATGCTGCTGACGATGATCGCTGTTGAGCATTTCATGAAGCCTCGGTCGATGAGGGGTGCCCACATGATCGACCCAAAGAAATATCCGACGGCAGCTGCCGAGCAAAGAGTAGCTGCCACTTGGGGCGGGAAGCCCTTGACTTCTAGATGAGGGACGTAATACAGCATCCAAGAGTTGAAGGCAAAGGCCACTCCGAAACGACACATGGACACAATCCAAAACTTGAACTCCAAAAGTATTCCCAGATCTACAGCTTTGACAAGATGAAGACAGGATTTCTTGCCACGACTTCTGCATCCTTCCTTGTCGTTGTAATCCTGGTAGCTATCTGAGCAATCTGTAACAGGCTCGTACTGTGCTTTAGTGACCCTGACAACGGCAGCACTTGCAATCTGATGCATACTGATTCCAGCAAGAAGCAGCGCCGCTCCTCTCCAACCGTAGGTGTCGAGGAAAAGCTGCGTCATCGGTGCAAAAGCAAGAAGGGCAACTGCTTGCCCGGCATGGCCAATTCCACAGGCCAAAGTGAATCGCTCACGAAAGTGGCGTCCCAGTACGACTTTGTTGAGAACCATGATAATTCCAACGCTTGGTCCTGGAAAAGGGTATGCGAGTGGTTCATTAAAGCTAGTCTTACTCATTTTTGAACAAAAGTGGTAGGGTGTATAACAACTAAATAAATTATTCCAACCAAACTATAGTCAACAGCTTCAGACATTAGTTAGATGCTATTCACATATTTTCTTTTATTTTCATAAATATTGTAACTCTTTACCTACTAAGACTGCCAATGCCAGAGCCATATGAATGGTGCTTCTTGCCAGAGGAAACAACAGCAACCCTATGCTTTCGACTGCGCTGGTGACGACTAACAAACGTCGACAGCTAAATCTTTCATCCAACGGCATGGTTAGAAGACCTTAAATCAAACAAAATAAATGAAGCTTCACTGTAGATTGCATTTGTTTCCTGATGCGTCTTGTAGCTAGGACTACAGAATAAATTTGATAATCAACTATAAGAAACGTACGCTCCTTTACCTCCAAAATATGACATTACTCCCGTCAACGATGCAATGATTCCAATGACCCAGGTGTGTGTGGTGAATTGGTCCGTCAGCGTCGGCAACAAAACGCCCATACTTTTGTTAACGCATCCCCACATCAGATTGGCGGTAAACGAAAACAGGACGAGAAAATAACCATCAGTATCGAATTCCATGGCGATTTTTTTCAGAGTATACATCGCAGTACAAAGTTGCTGCACGATGCGCCAGCGTATCTACCCGGTTGACACATTTCTGATATTTAAGCGTTTACATATTAGAATCTGTCATGCACGGGCAGTAGCTTTGCACAACTAGGTGCAGCCGGCTCAATAAGCCTCGTTACGAGTGTACATGTACATCATCCATCGTGCGCCGAGTTGTCTAGGTCAGTGAAATACAATGGCTTTTTTACAATGGACCAAGGCCCCCAAAATAGTTCTGCTTACGGTTTCCCTACATACCCTATTATGACAGCCCCTACCCTCATTTGTTTCAGGGAAAAATGAAAAAACAAACAAAAAAACCCATCATTTTCTTTCTTTTACACTTGACCTACAAGCAGATTGCACAGACACAAAATTGCCCCCCCCCCCAAAAAAAATCCTACCTACCTACCCTTTATTTTTTAATGCCGTGTAATCAGAAGCAGAATTATTTTTTTGTTTGGCCTAAGGAACATGGTAATTCAGCCCAGTCAACAGAGCGTGTATTGTGACACGACATGTGGGTGTGCATTTTTATTTATTTTTTTTATAAATGCGCCAATTGACCTTTAGCGGTAGAATCGCGTTAGAATCGCGTCAACGCAGCTTGTGAAACTTGGCCTCCTCTCCTTTGCAATCCCCTCATTATATACCAACTTCCTGAAGACGACGTGTGTGAAGCCCACCCCGGTGTAGACTAGCTCAGTCAAGCTTGACTGAGTCGGAATTGCTTTAAAGGGAATGTACATCATTGGCTTTCGCTGTAATTTTCAGAAATGAACTAGTTGAGGGGTTAGTGTAATAGAACAAAATATTGTTACACTGACATGTTTGAAGTTTTGTGTCCGAAAATGCTGGAAAAACCAAGAAAAATAAAAATGTTCAAGTAGTCTGGTTCCCTGACTCCACTAAAAATGAAATGGATCAATTTATAGAAGCCGGATTTTTTTTTCCCGGCTGATGCGTCTTGTAGCTAAGACTACATAATAAATTTGATAATCAACTATAAGAAATTTACGCTCCTTTACCTCCTCTTAAGAAGCACCGTAGGAAAATTTAAATTAGTTGTTCGTTTTGTTATTCGGCGCAGCGCGCGCAAGCATTGGAATGACGCACAGGCGCGCGCGGTTGCTATAATTCGTTGGATCAGTGCGCAACATCGCGTAAAGCTGCAATTCAAAACAATTCGAAACATGATTTAGCAACTTTTGATTTGAAATTGAGATCCTAGAATGCTGTTTTTCTCGGAATATGAAGCTGAAGCTGAGCTGAAACTTCATCAAGTAAGTTGTTCAGTATCCTTCATTAGATTTTGAACACTTTTGTTGCTTCAAACGAACAAAATGCACTTATAACAATTGATGGACTATAGCTTTAAGCTGCGCGAATAGGCAGAAAACGCTGATTTGGTAATTGGTCCCGCAAATCTGATGCATCTAAATAGGCTGTTTTGACAGTAAATTCTCCTACCGCTACTTTTACATTATTGTTTCCCAAGCGTCTGATTTTATCTTTTGCCCCTGTGCATTGTCCCAAGTCTCCCCCTTTTTCTGGCCCCTCGAATGGACTGAATGTACCCTATCGGGAACAATTCCACTTGCAATCGGACCAAGCCCTGAGGGTGACTCTCCCGACCCGGCTTTCCTCACAAAGGATTCGCACGAGGTCGATCCTGCACTACTGTGGGCATCCCTTAGAAACTCCTCACCGGACTGGCCACTCATGAGGAGGGCACTGCCATGCGCCGTGCCCTCGCCGTCCATAGGCTCAATTTCCCTTTTAGGTGAATCCTATATGTTCATTCTTCAAGGACCTTAAGGACTTTTTTTTTTCAAGTTCCCCATTACCCATTAAAAACCAAATCCCAGGCAGCTGCTTAAGAAGAGGTAATTTCTCTCTCCCTCCCACCTCTGTGCCTCTACCGGACCTTGATGATGAGCCTCTTCCCCCCTCGGGTCCCAACTCGGCCGGGCCCTTGGCTGGCGGCGGCGCCCATGTCCACCTACCAAAAGCTGCATTTGCGTCGGAAGCAAGTGGAGTGCTTTGAAAACCACTATCAGCGAAACTTTTCTGTCGATAGTGTCGTGCTACCCATTTGTCTGTTTTTACCGCCCTTCACTCTTTGGCGCAGCCGACTCCACAATGATCTCTGGACTTATCTAATTCTCAATGAGTTATTACAAGCGACAAGTCCCAATTTCCCCTTAACATATAGGTGTACCAGATCTTTTTCGCCGCTTTGTCTAAATGCTGGCAAGTTAAGCCACGATGGAACTGGCGAAAGGCTATTTTCCCACCGGCATTATTTTTTACCTAGCTCCCATGATAGATATTGTGATAGAGGCCTACTTATTGCTTAAAGGGAATATACAACATTTGCAAACATCGAAAAACAAAACTACATTAAAAAAAAAAAATGACTTACTAGGATGTTGGTAAATGCCAGTCTAAAGCATCCTGTGAAATTATGGCACCAGGTGTGAAGTCATTTTCAAGAAAAGTGGTATTTTGTATAAATTTCCAACGGTGGTCGGCCGACCACCGTTGGAAAAACCTAACTATTTTTCAGCTACTGCTCCAAATTTACCCTTTTTTTCAGTCAAAATTTTGTTTGCTGTTGGTTACATGTTCATGAACGGGTGCAGGCCAGCTAGACTGGTTCTATTACCTTACAAATTTCCGGCATCTATAAATTGATCCATTTCATCTTTAGTGGAGTCAGGGAACCAGACTACTTGACCAATTCTGTTTTTCTTGGTTTGTCCAGCATTTTCGATCACAAAACTTCAAACATGTCAGTGGAACAATATTTGATCTATTATACTAACCCCTCAAATAGTTCATTTCTGAAAATTACAGCAAAAGCCAATGATGTACATTCCCTTTAACACATTTTCCACATTATCCCAACTACCAAATTTATTTAATAAAAAAGATGTGGCATTTTATGTTATGGCTCAATATTTGACCCCAATCCCTAAGTTTTGGATATTGACCCAATATTATGGAAATCTTAATAAATATAACGTTAAGCTTTTTATCCACTGGCTCTTTTTTATTAATTGGATTTGGTTGTTGGGATAATGTGGAAAATTTGTAAAGCAATAAGTAGATGACCTCTATCAACCATATCTATCTATGGGAGCTAGGTAAAAAATAATGCCGGTGGGAAAATGAAGATGACGCATTTTTTTACCAAAATGACCTTGACTTTCGCCTGAATCACATGACTTTGACCTCCAACTATTTTAAAAACCTCGAAAATCGATTCATCGGCCCAGAAATGTATATTTTGACACCAAGATTATAAAAATCGGCTCATTAGTTACTGACATATGACACTTAGCGTTTTTAATTATTCGCACGGCAGCGATCTTCAAAATATGCAAATCATGGGACAATTTTTTTCGCTGGCAACATCGAAATTCTTTAATCAGATGTCCTAGGGATTCTAAAAATCATCTTGGAATTTTATTTTAGGGGGGGGGGGGTGCATGGGAACCCTTTTCTCCTGCCGTACTAATAAATCTTCTTCCTCTGGGTCATTCCATGTCAGACCAACGCACTATTTTTACCTAAGGTCTTCCGATTTTGATAAAAAATGCTATGCTTGTTGGTCATGCTTAGCAATGAATGTACTACAATTTTTACACCAATCTGACTTACCATGTGGTCAGGGCGAAAAACACAAAAAAATTGACATTTTTAGATTAAACACTACCCTGTATATAACTGACGCATTTGTAACCTACCAACTGTACAAAAATAGTCATAAAGTTGTCAAAAATAGTCAAAAATAGTCATAAAGTGCGATTTGGAAGACCCCAATTTTTTTTTTTTTTTTTTTTGGGGGGGGGAGGGGATTCTGATAGAGGAAGACATGCTCTATCAAGTCGTTTTCCTTTCGTCGATTTTCGGAATGATGCATTATTACAAAAATTGGGTCAAAGGTCACGGTAACATATTAAAGGTCATGGTGACCTATCTTTCACAAAACTGATTTTTGATAAAAGATTTAAGTTTAGCAAGCAATTCTGATTATTTGAATACCAATTTTGCATATATTTGATGAACATTTACATGGTTATGACATATTTGTACCAAAAGGGTGGTATTTTAATCTAAAAATGTCATTATTTTGTGGTTTCTGCCCTGTCCACATGGTTGGTCGGATCGGGCTAAACATTGGTGTGCATTCATTGCTCATCAGGACCTAGCACAGCAATTTTTATCAAATTCGGAAGACAGGAGGTAGAAAGTGCTGTGGTCTGACATGGAATGACCCATATGGTAAGAACTTGTGCATTTCAACAGATATCGACCCTGATCCCGAGTGGTGCATATTACTCTGACGTCATGATGACGTCATCGGGTATCAAATTACAAGCAATTTTCTTTCACCTAGTATAACTCTTGATTGAACAAAACTACAGGTTCGCGTTTGTTGAGTAACAAACGCAGAGTGGTCGGACAGAACTTTTTCATTAAAGGGAAAATACAACATTTGCAAGCATCGAAAAACAAAACTACCAAGGTTTTACGAAATACCTTACATGATGTTGGTAAATGACAGTCTAAAGCATCCTGTAAAATTATGGCACCTGATGTGAGGTCATTTTCAAGTAAGTGGTATTTTTTGTATACATTTCCAATGGTGGTCGGCCGACATTTCCAACGGTGGTCGGCCGACCACCGTTGGAAAACCTAACTATTTTTCAACTGCTGCTCCAAATTTACCATTTTTTTTCAGTCCACATTTTGTTTGCTATTGGTTGCATGTTCATGAATGGGGGCAGGCCAGCTAGACTGGTTCCCTTACAGTACAATTTTCCGGCATCTATAAATTGATCCATTTCATTTTCAGTGGAGTCCATAATCAATAATACTAACCCCTCAAATAGTTCATTTCTGAAAATTAAAGCAAAAGCCAATGATGTACATTCCCTTTAAACACTGTCAAGTTAAGTTATAAATGTCTTAATGTATGCAAATGCCCAGCATCTATAGTATTCAAATTTTCAAAAGTATTCAAAAATTCCGGCGTGCACGGAACTCTCACATTTTGTAGTCAAGCATCGACATTTTAATGGTTATTAAAAAAGTAAAAAAAAAAGCAACACAGTAAAC